CGTGCACAGAAATGAAAATAATGTTCTTGAAGGGAACATGGTTCTTTTTGGCATGTGTTTCATCAAGAGATCCTGGAATCAATATTTTTGTCTCATCTATAGCAAAAGCTATCGACTTGAAAGAGTGGACATAAGTGTGGATATGAGTCTGTTGCTCATTTACACCCACATTCGAAGGTTTTTATTGAAAATTGAGAAAAAATATGACAGACAAGCGACTTAAGGAGTGGAGGTGTTTGTTTTCTTCACATACATAAACCTGCACCTATATTTATGTTTTGCCAGAAAGATATTTTCATTTCGTTGATGTAGTTCAAGAGATACTATACGAACGAAAACTTTCTTAAAACGAAGTATTTCAGCTTATAAAGAAAGAGAATTTTGTTAAAGTTAACCAAAATGAAGAAAAAGAATCTTGGAAAAAACCAACAAGTTAATTTTCTATGTGTTCAAGAAAGACGTAATGATAAGCAAAGTCTATGCTATTTTAATTCTATTTGATGAAAGTCGAAGTCATATTTTTACCGCAAGGAAAGGTCTTATCGATTATCTACTGGTCCTATAAATAACGGTCCTATCTGTTTCTATTTAACAATATGTGAGAGTTCTGAGTCTTTTAGTATAGTACAGCGTGAATTTCCATTTTCGGAATAGTTATAATTCTTAAAATTTCAATATTTGGTTGCAATTGGATATTCTGTAATAGTACTTTCAAGGTAAACAACTATTTCTAGCCTGATATTCAAGTCAAATAATTGAAAACTTATCATATGCCAGTTTCGTGACTAGAGAGAACATGATGCATCGCTTAAAAAAAGCAAAGTTCGTTTGTGATAAAAACTTTTGCTACTAGGAACAAAAGAAACATCGGCCTTTTCAACGGTGGGATGCGTCGAACAGCATTAGATCTATTCCCTTGACTGAAGCGAAGGTCATCCGAAATAAGTTGATGTGTAGTGAATGTGTTTGTTTGCAGTTGTATAGTTACGTGTTTACATGCATTCGCGTAACTTTAGGATAACTATTCACGCATGTTGATGTCAAGCGACCGTAGGCATCAGTGCAGGAAATCTGGCACAGCCAGGGGAGACAGTGTGGTTGGCTCTGACTGTAGCGCGTTTTCTCTGTGTTGAGTGTGACTGTGGGCTGCACTATATATTTCCGTGCGATGATGGGGTATGTATCTCATGGGTGGATGTGCGAATCGTCACTGTGGATATCAGTGAGGATGTAGCGGGTGCCAGTGTTACGGATAGGAAAGGCGCGTAGGCTCTACTGTGGATGCGTAAATATCGAATACGAGTATTATTGATTCAATATGGCAAGAGAAGAACCACAAAGATACCTACACCCAACTCCATACCGACATAGACATAAGTAGACATGCATAGACCCATGCTTAGACCCAAACTCATAATTATATGTGCACTTAATTGACAGTGATGCTCATGCATACATTTAAAATACTTATGCATTGCGCTTTATAGTAGTTAATTATAGACAAATAGCTGCGCATTCGCTACCTATGTCGTCAAAATAGCGGAAAATCGGCGATTTTTATCGATTTTTTTCGTGATTTTCATTAAAAATTGCTATTATTCAAATGCAGGATGGTCCATAAATAGCAGTGTAATTAAAAAGAATGACATACCTTCACATCCTTAAAAGGCAATTGACTGACTTTTGTATTAGTGTTAGTAGTTAATTCAATCTTTTTTTTTTCAAAGGGATAAAGTAAGCTCACATTACTGTTAAGTATTGTTTTTCGTATTATGAAAGAAATTTGATCTGTTTATGAAAAGAAAAAATGCAGGTGTAGCATCTCATAAATAATTTTCAGTTGTCCTCTAGAAGAATAATAAGAACGAGTCAAATCGAACTTTATGAATCCATCTGTATTTATGCACATAGAGCAATTTTTTTTAAAACTAGTTAGTTTAAAAGTCAACGAATAAAAATTGTCGAGTTTTCGAATCTGAAAAATTGCATTTGACAAGAAATTGATATTTAGCCACGCAAAAGGATATGTATTTGTATTTTGTTTATGAGCACGAATTTCAGCATTTAAACTAATTAGCTTAAAAAAAATTGATCTATGTGCAAAAATACAGATGGATTCATAAAGTTCGATTTGACTTGTTCTTATTATTCTCTTAGACGACAACTGAAAATTATCTATGAAATGCTACACCTGTATTTTTTCGTTTCATAAACAGATCAAAGTTCTTTCATAATACGAAAAGTAATACTTAATAGTAATATGAGCTTACTTTATCCGTTTGAAAAAAATGTTTGAATTAACTACTAACACTAATACGAAAGTGAGCGCATTTCTTTTTAAGGATGCGGAGGTACGTCATTTGTTTTTTGAATGGTAACGCTATTTATGGACCATCTTGTAATATTTTCGTTAATTTGTCGTGGTCATAGTATTCGGATCTGAGACTCTGACTTCATGAGTATTATGGAACACCCTTTATTGTTGGTCGATTTCGAAATATTTATCATTATATTCTCCTGTTTCTATTTTTTATTATTACAAGAAAAGATATCATTAAATTGTATATGTCATTTGAAAGGCCGTCATAAGTAGTCGAAGCTCATATAAAATACATTCGGTTAGGGATTATTCTGTACCTGCAGATAAACTAATTTTCTCGCGTATCAGAAATAATGAAACATTTTGTATCTATCCACTAAATATAACAATGATATTAATATGAAAATATTAACAATCTTCGATTAGTTTGTACAAAATGTGTTGCAACATCAGCATGAACAACATCCGTACTACGTAAACGATAATCTGTTAAGCCAAGAAATATGCCAAGATTATTCGATAGACGTGGAAGAAAATATGAGCCATCAGCGATCGGAAATAGAGCTTTTTTTAAATCAATGAACAATCTTTTTCATTTGCCAATAGCTGCTTCTGGCATAGCAACTGTTGTTATTTCTGTAGCTATTCGAAATGATTCATGTACTAATTAACCGTAGCCCTGTAATGAACAAAATGATCAATGCTTAATTCTATTCCACATACTCCACCCATTGTAATACCATTGCACAATGTAATATACAATAATTTATAAGTTCCAATATGATAAAGATATTGATATCCATCTCTTAAATAATCAGTTCGAATATTTTCACAATTAGATGATGATACTGGAAGAACTAAAATTTTACTTATTTACTAATACGAAATAATTAATTCTGTTTTTTTTTTGTTACTTTTAATACCAATACTAGCAGAGAATGCTTTTGATCTAGTAGTTCTAATAACCTACGGCGCGAAAGTCTTGGCACAAATTTGTTTTTCTTATATCTTTATTAGCAAAAGCCTTACTGTTTGACAAATAATGTCAAAAGAAAGTCCAAACAGAGATGTTCTAAAAATTAAAATGGCCAAACTGCATATGGTCCTTTATTAGTGATTGTTCGAAGTTGTTTTGTGATAGACGAAAACATGACTTGTACAGAATTCATATCGATTCCTTGAAGCTTTTAACTTATTCTTGTTTTCAATTGGTCAATAGTTTTTGCTTCTCAACCATTAGTGTATATTATTTTACGTTAACTAAGGACGCTGTATAAACTAATCATGAGTTCTATACCTCTGATCCAAACACCATATCACCAGATGTGAAATTCAAGCGGGCTCAAAAATATTCTGCTAAGCTTTTGGTTTGGATTGCTGTATCTCAAAAAGGTGTCTTAGAACCATTTTTTGCAGAACAAAAGCGAGAAATCAATAAAACCACATATCTCATACATTGTATCAAGGAACGTTTAATACCTTTCATTAGTAGCTGTCACAAAACCGACAAGGTTTTATTCTGGTCTAATTTGGCAACAAGCCATTATGCATCCAGTGTAATTGAGTTTTTAGAAGAACGCCGCAGTGATGTAGTGCCAAAAGCAAAGAATCCTCAAAACTGTTCTCAGGCACGTCCTGCAGAAACAATTTGGTGGATTTTGGATGATAAAGTATATACTAATGGTTGAGAAGCAAAAACTATTGACCCATTGAAAACAAGAATAAGTTAAAAGCTTCAATAAATCGATATGAAGTCTGTACAAGTCATGTTTTCGTCTATCACAAAACAACTTTGAAAAATCACTAATAAAGGACCATATACAGTTTGGTCACTTTAATTTTTAGAACATCTCTGTTTGTACTTTCTTTTGATATTATTTGTCAAACAGTAAGGCTTTTGCTAATAAAGATATAAGAAAAACAAATTTGTGCCAAGACTTTCGCGCCATAGGTTAATACATTCATTTTTATTTAAAAAATAATCAATAGATATTGGACATTCTAAAAGTTTACATTGAATAGTTTTTATCAAGTTTTTTTTGTGAAACAGGATCTAAAAAGAGTGTTGAAATGTAAGGATGGAAATTTGAACCCCTTATACAAATACAACAGACATCTTAGCAACGAATCATGATAGATATCGTTGAGATACAAGCACAGACCTTATGTCAATAACACATCGTTATAGTATACGAGCTATTTCCTTGTTGTATTTCTCGAGGATTAAGTAAAAGGATCGTGAATGAATGTGTCCTACAACGGACACAATAAAATAATCTTCCTAGGATTAGCAACAGCAACGACATCGTGTTTCACATTATAATCTCGCTGGGGTTGTGCTAACAGTTTTATTTCGTGACTTGTAACATAAAATAAAAGTAATCAATACTACACGAATAATATTCTATCGAATACAATTCGCTTGTTCAATTTATGTTTGTTATGTAGAGCGAGATCGATTTCGTCAACTTTTTACTAATGCTTTACAACGAATTGATATTGCCATCGATATTTTTTTAGAATGGAATTTTTAAATGAATCAATTAGAAATAAAAAATAAAAAATAAATGATTTTCTTTCAAGAAAAATTTCATTAATTGACACAACGGCGCGCGTTAGAAATTCATTGTTTAATTCGAATAAACAAATTTTTTTTTCTTTTCATTTATATTTCTTCTAAATGACTACATTAACTGATTCAAATATATCAATTCTTGATCGTATTGATTATATATCAAATCGTTTAATTCTTATGTCATTAAATATTCATATAGAATTAAATGATGGTCGTTTTTCTTTCTCACGTTTAAATGAAATTCGAAAACATTCTGATCTTAGTCTAGTATCATCATCGTTTTCTAATACATTAATTGATGAATTACTTGCATGTATAGAATATTATTGTCATCAAATTAATGAATTAACAGATTTATTACATTTAATTCTTAAATCATTAGAATCGAATATGAATTTTAATCAAATTATTGATGATCTATCGAAAGGTTCTCAATTATGTTTAGATGTTATTAAAACTTATCATTTAGAACGAATTCAAGCTGTTCAATCAATGTTATCAAGTCCATTTCGTGAAGATGCTTGGTATACAGTATATGAAATTGATTCAAATATATTTGGTAAATGTCGAATAATTTTAATACGTTTACGAATGTATTTTCTTCTAATGCATCAAATGCTTACAAATGATATTAATCATGAAATAAAACCTAAAATTCAAACTTCAAGTTTACATTCATTAATAAATAATAATAAAAAACAACAAGAATCAAATTTATCAATATCGAATAATTTTAAACGTAAAAAAATTCTAGATTTCAAAGTGTAAATTTTTATTTATGATAGAAAAAAATAGTTGAATTACGAATGAATAATAGATGAGACAAGAACAAAAAAGAAAACACAAAAAAAAAGGTAAATTATGAACACGAAAACAAGAAAAAAAAGAGCAAGGTTAAAAACTAGACAATCATACCATACAAGATTCACACGATTCAAAAACGCATCAGCAACCGTCGGTTTTTCTGGCTTAGTTTGCAAAATAATATTCAAAAAAAAAGGAAAAGAAAAGAAGAAGACGAAGACGAAGAAGAAGAAGAAGCAGCAAAAGTAGCTAATGAATAATTTTTCTCTCAAGTCAGTATATAAGCAAAAATTGATAGATAAATAATAAACTAATCTAACATAGGTTGCTGAGTTTTTTCAGGTCTTTGGCTATACCTTATTGATCTTCTAATCGGAACGAATAGAATTTTCCTGAGAAAAAGAAAAAGAAAACAGAAAACGTTGAAATGTGATAATTCATGTTCGAACAAATAAAGATAAAAACACACACATTCACACACACACACACACGGAAGAATCATTCAATTGATGTTCATTCACATAGAACAATCTGACATCCACCACATACATATATATGTTATTTATTGATAACGAGTTGAAAATCGTGTTGGTGGTTGTGGACGGCCATTATCCGATAGTGGTGAATCATGACCACCAGCTGAATCATTATCATCTTCTTCATCACTATATTGCCTATTATAAAAAAAGTCTTTAAAAAAAACAGATCTAAATTTAATTTAATTTACCCCTGGATATTTCCAATTTTTTTCTTTGCAGCACTTTTTTGTTTAACTTGTTTAACGGATGTTCGATTACGTTGAACAATTTGTGCTTGTGAATTTAAACGATTTTGTTGTAAAATAACATTTTGTGTTGAACCAAAACCTGAACTTGGACTTATTGAACCTGGTGTTGCATAATCAGCTAATATACCTGATGATGATAATGATTGTGATGGACGATTTGGTGTTGCCATAACAAGATCATTCAATGATGTTGAACCCCAATTACGATTATGTTCATTATTATTATTTAAATTTTCATTATCACTATATGCACGATTTGTATCATTATGTCGTTTATCATTATTTGATATAACAGGTGGTGATACAAGATGACGTAAATTTGAATTTGTTGTTGTTGTATTTTCATGATTTGATATATATGGAAAACCTGTTGATGAATAACGCATTGAATATTCATTTGAATTTTGTGATAAATTTTGACGACGATTTGCTCTTGATTTTGAAAAATCATATGCTGTTGTAGGATTCTTATTATCATGAATATAATTATCATTTGTGTGAATATCAAGATTATTATAAAGTGCATCAATTTGATCAATAGTTTCATTAAAACCAGTTTTATTATTATTTGGATTTATATTAGTTGATTGTCGATAATAACGATGAACAATTTGATTAAGCTTATCAAAATTATCACTATTTAATTGTTGATAATTATTTTGTTGTCTTGTACGATAATGTGATGGAAGTTTGGTTGTAATTTGTTCATTGTTTTTATAACGTCTTGTGTGTGTTGATGGTGTGTTTGATGATTGAGAATTTTGATTTATATTCATACCCGTAGCACCACTTGATTGTTCATCACTTGAATAATTTGTATTAAGACCTTGTGAACGTAATTCATCAGCACTGAAATAACCCGATGAACGATTTAATGAACGATCTGATGAATGAAAATCACTATTAATAACAACAGTATTTCCTGGACGTGCAGATACATTTTGAATTGAAACTCGACCATCTTTTGATGTTGTTACAATAGCACGTGTTGATTGATCAAGTTCAACAACGGTTGGTTGTTCAGGTGATTGTGGTGGACGTTTTTCAATTTCAATTTCAAATTCTATACTCGGACCGAGTAGATTACCAAGACTACCTGTACGGCGTTTTATTTGTCGACGATATGCTGATTGTGTATAGGGAGAAGTTGAATATTGATCTTGGTCTAGTTGCTGTTGTCGATCTTGTTCGTGTAAAATTGAATGATATGATGATGAACGTGCATGAGCACCTAATGAAGAAGAATATTCATTTGTAGTATCGTACGGACCTAAGAGGAAGAAAAAAAAAGTTTTTCATTTTTAAGAATAATAATTTTATTCTTATTAAAAGATCGAAAAGAAAGAAACATCATTAGTAGACGCAAAAGCTTAAAGAATAAACAAATGTTTTTATTTTGCTAGCACCCAATAAAGAGTGTAGCATAAGAAAATAAAATACAAACCTGATTTTGCTATTAAAAATAATATCAATTTGAAATAACAAAATAAAAATTAAATAGAAAACAAAATATTCGAAAATATTTTTTGTTTTATTTTATTTTATTTTATTTCATTTTAATTCTATATTAACATACTTATTCGTGATCGACTTTGTCTTTGTTGATAATCTTGATTTATTGTTGATGGACGATAACTTGATGCATGAATACGTTCATAATGTAATTTTGAACGTTGTTGTTGTTCTTCTTCTTGTCTTATTCGTGCATTAAGTTCAGGTTCACTTGTTCCATGTTTTATTGTTGAAGGACTTGGTTTCATACCAACACCATGAGATAATTCTGGTACACGAACAATAGCAATTATTTCATTTGGTGTATATTTACCAAATGTAACTTGATTTTGTGGACTTAATGATGTTATTTCCATTGTACGTGGTGGACCAGAACTTAATGTACGAATATTTGAACGTGACGATGAACCTTGTAATAAACTATCTTGTGAACGATCACGTTGTATTGGTTTAAACCATGTTTCTTCAATACGTACGGGTTCTTCTTCTTGTATTAATGTTGTTGTTGTCGTTGTTGTTGTTGCTAATGGTGGTGGTGGTGGTATTGGATATGATATACTATCGGATTGTGGAGAATCATAACGATGTTGATGAATACCATTCTCACGATATATTTGTGTTTGTTGACGAATTTCAGTTGTTGGTGTATATGTTGATTCAGGTGGTGAAGCTTGAAAAAAAATTAAACAAAAAAAAAGGTTTTTTTTAAAGAAAGAAAAAACGAGAAATTTTTACCATTAGATTTTGTTGAATCATAATAATATGTACGGTCATTTAATAAAATTCGTTTTGATGGTGCTATTGTACGTGATGCTTCATCAGATGAATATTCAGGTGAACGTACTATTGGAGCACCTGTTGTCGTTGTCGTTGTTGTTGTTGTTGTAATAATTTTTTTTGGTGTATTTGAATTACCTGTTTGTTCAGTTTTAGTTGTTGATTCTTTTATTTCATGTGTACGTTGTACTTGACATTCAACACGTGTTTCAGTTTCAATTGTTTCAATTTCATCAACAACTAATGGTTTTGTCATAATTGTACGTGTTTGTGTTGTTATTGGAATTTTTCGTTGTCCACTATGATAATTAGCAATATTTTCATAATCTGATGGTGGTGTACTTGTTACTTGACGTCGAATATTACGTTGTTGTTGTTGTTGTTGTTGTTGTTTTTGTTGATTAAATTGATCATTAGAAATAATTTCTGTATCATATTTATATGTTGATCGTGATACTGAATCATCTCCACCATGAATTGTTGTTTGATCTGTATCAGAAGTTTGTCGTCGACCATAACGTGAACTTAATGTTCCTGATATTGAATCACCATAAATACCACTATCACGTGTTGTTTGTGTACGATTAACATCATCAATAATTGATGATGTTGCATTATTACGCCATGATGATGAACTTGTTGGTAAACGTTGACTTGTAGCTGTTGAATATTCAAATATACCTGAATCTGAACCCATAATATATTTCTGTGGATCACGTATTGGTTTTGTTGTTGTTGTGCTTGTTATTGGAACTTCATGAGATATATGTGGAGAAAGTTCGATTAAAAGACCTTTACCTAAAAACAAGAAAAAGAACGTTATTAGTGTAATCTCTGTAGGATTAAAATATGAAATACAATACAGCTGTTCTGGCTGATATTTTATTCTATCTGTTTTGGGACATATCCATTTACTATCCTGTTAATTGATTCTTCAGTAAGAAAGTAGTTCATACGTTATAGCGAAATGTTATTGATATATGATCTTTGATCGTATATCAACAACGTCTGTCATGATCTGTGATGTGTCGTTGTTAACAAGGGCACTACTCAAATTGATACCAACTCATATTGGATCCATAAGGAGATCTTGATAAGACTAGAAAAATCCTTAAATAGTTCGTGTTCATCATCCTCAACAGTCAAATTATGATCGTTTTACTGAATTTTCAACCCATTTTTTAGATATTTACGGAAAAATCAAGTAATATAATTTTGATATGAAATTCAATTTATCGATAGATCTAATGATCCTTAGGAATATCCTGAAAGTTACAGTTGAAAAGAATATTCCTTTGTCAAGATATTAAATTTTTAAGTAAACTTAATTTTTTGGAAATTTAATATCTTGGCAAAAGCATATTCTTTTCGAGTCAAACTTTTACGATATTCTACTAGTCATTCGATCTGAAATCTCCTTGTATGTTCAATATGAGTTCAAACGGTGAATATCAGTTCGAGTTTCTGTCATGATCTGTGAAGAAGGGACGGACGAAGTGCAAATTTCTACTCTATATACTACAAAATAAAACATTGAACACAAACCTTTACTTGTTGGTACATGTGAAAGAATATTTTCCATATTTGTTTCATTAAATGCTGATTTTGTTCGTTGACTAATATATGTTATATCATCGAATGGTTGTGTTGTACTTTGTGAAAAATCTCTTAAACGTGTTTTCGGTGTACGTCGTCGTATATCATATTGTTGTTGTTGTCTATTTGTTGGATCACTTAATTCATCTTCACTTTCATGACCAGCATCTTCATCAAGTTTTTGTTTTATTGATTTTGGTGTACTTTGATAAATAGGTGGTGATGCACCACTTACATCAGAATCAATTGATGATATTATTCGTTTATCTTTTATTATTAAATCTGTTGATGTTTGTGGTACTGTTAATCGTTCAGTTGTTTTTATCATTGATGGTTCTAATGATGATTTCATTGTATCAAATCCTGTACTACTAAGACGATCTGTTGATTGTATACGAGATGTTGATTTTGAATCAGTACTTTCAATACGTGATATATGTTCTGTAACACGTGATGGAGCTGTATATGTTTCACTTACACGACGTTCATTTGAGTCAAAGTCATCAATCTATTAAAATTTATATGAGAAGAAAATTTTAAATAAAAAAACAAAAAAATATCTATTCTCAAAATGCAAGTTTTTTTTATTTTCTTGTGTATTAATTTCGAAATTCTAGTTTGAATTGTGAGATATTTTCTAATGTCAAAAAAAAAGAAAAACAATTCACCATATGTTTAGTAAAGTGTAAAAGTTAAACCAATGAGACAATAATCTCGTGATATATATTTATATATATATATATATACATATTTTCTTACCTGAAAGATAGATAGTTTTCGATTAAAACTTTCATATTTTTCTTTCTTATATATCATTTCTCTCATTAAAATTTGTCGTGATCAAAAATGATGTGTCTATATGTATGTGAAGCTCACTACTCAATCTTTGTCTTCGGTGTCGTGTGTATATGATGGATTAGTTCGTGAACAACTACAATCGTACAATTTATGTCTTCTCCTTTTTTTTTCTTTACTATCGTTGAAAATGATTAAGTCAGACATAGAGATAAATGAAGTGATTTTACAGTTGCCAATACATAACAACAACCACAACAACAACAACAACGAAAAAAACAAAAAAAAAGAAACCATCACCAAATAAGTATGATTTATAAAATACATACGAGAGATGTTTGTCGTCGACCACTTATACGATAAACTCGTCTTTGTGGTACGACGATTGTCGGTGTAAGTTGCTGCTGTAAAAATAATGATTGTTCGAATCATAATCTTTTGAGTAAATTGATTTTACTCCTCCCGTTCTGATTAGTATAGAAAAGAAAGGAAAAGAGAGAAAGCAAACCCGACACACAGACGAGCACACACACACACGCACTCAAGAAAGACAAGCAATTATTGACCCAAGGCGAGTTGAGTGTATTAACTGAAGAATTATTTTAAAAAGTTAAGATATTTTTTGTCTTACCGATCGACGATCTGTTGATGCCCATCCTTTATTGATTTGATCTTGTTCTTCAAATACTCGTCGTCGTTGTTCAGTGAAACTAGTTGATACCGGTGTTTTAAATTTTGATAAATCATCTTTTATATTTCCATTTGTTGGTGATTCAAATGTATTTCTTAATACTCCAACACGACTATATGTTGGTCGATCAGTTCTATTTACTACTAAATCATTTGTACTATCAAATCGTTGTTGTTCAAATCTTGATCGACGTTCATCAATAATTGATGATGATGATGATGATCGTTTTGGTGGTTGTGGACGATCATCATCTGTACGTGATGTTGAAGTAATTTTTTTAATTGTTTCACGTGATCGAATACCCTAGAAACATTAAAAAATTATTTATTTATTTAAAAATTTAATGAAAATTTTCATAAAAGAAGAAGAAAATTGATCTTTTAAGGAAAATAAAAAGGGAAATAAAATAAATAAATAAAAGTTAGTTAAACACGCGAGAAAAATAAAAGAATCAGTGTTGACATATCATGCAAACGTGCAATAATAATCTCTATATCTCAACTTACATCAACTAGTACCAATCTTTTATTTTTCTGTTCATCTTCATCTGATGATGAATGAAGATGATAAATTTGTTGATGAAACTGTTTATCTGGTGATGATTCTCGAGATACACAAACAAGTATTTCTTTGACTGCATGTCGTAGTGGGGGAGATGTTTTTAATTTGTTTTGTTCGAATAATGTTTTATCATATCCAGATAGATTTATTGAAGTATCTTTAAATTGTTGTTGAATATTTGTTGGTACAATAGTTACTCGTTGTGCTGTATAATTACCATCTATTGATTTTCCAAACTGTGATATAGGGAATTAGGGGAAATTAATTAGAAATATATGTCTTTCTTTTACTCTCAAATTCTTATTAAAAGAAACTATGAACAAGGAATAAAAATACTCAGTTTTTCTTTTCTTTTCTTTTTTTACCTGATCGAATTGATCATCATCTGATGTTGCTGTATAAATTTGTTTAAGTTTACTTCTCCAATCTGAATCTCGTTTTTGTCCAGCTTCAGTAATTATTGTTGATAAATCATAATATGAACGATCACCAGTTGTACCATATTGATCTGAAATATCATCTTCTGATAATTCATGTCGTTGTTGTTGTGGACTAATTATTGATGTTTGATATTGATTTGATGGTATATGACGATCAGCATATTGTTGTTGTTGTTGTTTAACTTCAACATGATATTCTTCACTAACTGTTCCTTCATGTTGTTGTTGTTGTTGTTGTTGTTGTCGACGATCAGATATATATGTTGATGGTGTTACTATATTTGTTATATGATCATAAGTTGATGATGGTACTCTTGATGTTATTGTTTGACTTGTTGATGGTATTGGTATATATTGACCTGGACGTACACGATCATAAATTGTTGCTGTTGACGATGATGGTGGAGTTGTTGAATCAAATTTTGTATTAAAACGTTCAGCATTTGCTATTGATTCAATATCACGAGCAAGTTTTGAATCATAAACTATTTCTGTTGTATAAAGATCTTCTGAAGACCAATGACGATCTTGTGGTGTAATTTCTATAAAAAAAAAAAATTTGTTAAGTCAATATTTGCTAATATAAAAAAAGCAATAAAAGAATATTTACCAGAAATTATTTGACGACCAGGTGATGATGATGTTGTTGTTCGTATTGTTGAAGATGGTGGTGGTTGTGATGATATTTCCTCATAAACAGGACTTTGTGAACATTCAATAGAAACAATTGTTGTTTTTGTTGGATCAATTGTATGAGCTGGTACACGTCTATAAACTTCTTTAATAACATCATAACTTTTATGTCCTTTAATACGTTCATTCTTTTCTTTATATTCTTCTTTAATAACATCACTTTTAACACGATCACCTGTTTGATCAATAGTTGAACGTAATAATTGATTTGTTTTTTTATCATATTCATCTATACGACGACAACGATATTCTTCACTCCATTCTTCAAAAATAACTTCTTCACTTGATGTCGATTTTTCATCTTCACTTACATGTTGAACAATTGTATCACGTACAAGAACTTCTGTTTTATTAAGATTATCAAATGGTACAGTTGAACTTGATACTATACGTGCACGTTCAAAATCAGGTATATGTGCAACAGGTAAATGTTTTGGTGGTAAATGATCTGATTGATCTCGTAATGTTGTTGCTGCATAATGAAGATTATGTGTTTCACGTGTATAAGGAATTCTCGTAGATTGATCAGTTTGAAAGTCAATCGTTTCGGTCATTCTTGGTTGTTCAATAAAAGGACCGGGACGTGATGGACGAACTAAATCAAAAATCAATAAATTATTGGCTATGAGGTTTTTTTATTCAAATATTTAGTAAAATATTTTATTAAAAATCAATGTCTTGCCCTTCTTATTGTTATGTATACAAATATTCTATTTGATTTATAGATTATCTTAACTAAACTACATTTGTTTGAGATATGAAGAATATGTATATATATATATATATATTTATTTATTTATTTATTGAAAAAGAAACCATAGAAAACGATCATCTCAGTATTAGCATATGAGAGAGGGAAGAAAAAAAACTATAGAGAGGAGAAGGAATGAATACTTGAAAAATTTTCAATGATCGATGATGAAGTTATCCTGCTTCGTTCAAGTTGTTATTTCGTAACTTAATTGACTCATTATAATATATAATATATAGAGAATAATATTTAATAAGTATTATTTTAATTAAAAAAAAAAAGAAAAGAAAACGACTAATTCTTTAATCTTACTTCGATATTCTAAAGTTAATCTAATTGTTCTACCAGGTGGTATCGAAGTATTTGCTTGTAATTCAACTGTTTCTTTCATTGGTAAAGATGATAGATTTATTATTGAATAGAGAGAAAATTAATGAATAAGATTTATATGCGCAAAGCAACAACAAAAAAAATGAACGTTTGTAATAACAACTAGTAGACGTTGTTCATCGTTTGAGAAGTAGTATGAAATACATGTATATATAGATTATAATAATAAAAAACAATCATTTGTCGTCTCAAAATTTATTAACAGAATACAAGAGAGAGAGAGAGAAATCCAATATTTGATGAATAGCTATTATTGTTTTTTTGGTACCATTCAATGATTACATTTTAAAATACGAAGAAGAACAACGATGTTGTATCTTCTTCAATAGTTTTTCATATCCACGTAGCTATCGACAATTGATTACCTTTTCTTTTTCTTTTTATTTCTGTGGAATTTAATAATAAGCGAGAAAAAGAACGAGATGGTTGTTATGTTTGGCAAAGTTCAAAACTTTTTCTCTCAACCACTCATAATCGAAACGAAGCTATTTCACCTTCTCGTCTCTTGCTTCTCTCTATTTTTTCTCACTTAATCGAGCACCATATACAAGCAAACAAGAACTAAAAATATCGTCCGTAGGAATAATGTCGATATACGAATCATTTAAATTGTTCTGATTCTCCTTCCTTTCTTGTTCTTGTTATTTTTCATAGCATTACTCGTTGCGTTTCTTGCACAAACATTGCTCAGTGACACTCCTACATTCACCGACAGGTCTATTAAAATACATTATCGCGTCTCTAGTGTAGTAGAACGCAAGACTAATCACGTTATCATAAGTGTAAAAGCATATTATTTTTGTGTTGTTTTTACATATATATATATATATGGAACACAGAAAATAAAGGAAAGGAAAAGAATGGTGTAAGAAGAATAAAAAAAAAAAGAAACTTGTTTGGTTTGTCTCACATTCATTTATTTAATGATCAATTTCTAATCGTCTTGTTCAATACTGCGTTTGTAAAGAAAAGTATCAAACTCTCCATACATTTATATTGTGCGATTTTTTTTTGTCAAGGAACTTCTGACAGATATATTCGTAAATTCTATATATATGATGACCTTGCCTCTATGTGTATGTCATTTGAGCTGTTCCATTTTTCTTTTCTACAAAATATACTTATAATGGAACACGAGAAACCTTGAGTTCTTACAATAATGATGAAAGAATCAAATCAAAGTAGAATAAAAAGAAGAAGAAGTAGTAACCTTCAATCATGTTCTCTTTCCGTTTTGTCTACTTGATTTAAAAAATTTAATTTTATCAGAAACAACAAATCACTTAAAAAAAAAACAAAAATTTTCATTTTAATCGATGTTCAATGTCATAAATGTTATTTTTAACCAATGAAATTAAATCAAATCAAATTTGACAACGTCATCTAATCCTTGCCTATATGAAACAACTACCATCTTGTTTAATAGTAGTCAAAAAAAGAAAGGAAATTTAATACTCTTTTATTCTCGCTTAACAACATGATTTTACCATGAATATCATCTTATAACAGCTAAAAATCTAACCTTCTTAAGGATTATGTGGATGCCATAAACTCAACGTAAATAACAAGACTTGTACCGTCATGTATACAGAAAAAAACATCGTCGAATTATTCTCAATTTCAATAGGTGTCTGAATGATTATTATGAAAAACGAAACGTCTACTAGTATGTATTTAACAAAGAAGAATGCCTAGAGAATAAACTTAAGTGAAGTAAAAAGAAAAATAATAATAATAACAAGTTTAAGTTTATTTCACTCTTAATATTTTACAATTTGGCATTTCAACGGTTATTCATATTTTTTTTTCTTTTTTTTTTTTTTTTTTATAACTTAACACTTGTATTATTCACCATCATCACTACTGATAAAGAAACAAAATACTCTACCTTGTTACTCGTCTTCTTTGAAAGAAAAAAAAAATGGTCTGCTCGAAGAGGAAATCGACCGGTTAACGTCATGCAAGTTTATATCGAACTGAAAATGAGGACAACACGTTTGTTTCGTTCTTAGCTTACACACACACAAAAAAAAAGAAAGAAATTGATAAGCATGAAAAAACAAAAAAGAAAAAAGAAAATCGATTTTTTTAAAAATAACAACAAACATATTTTTTGGCATTAAAAAGGTTTTTATATTTTTTTTCTCATCTATTGATACGTACTGATAGGTATACTTTGATGTATAAAAATACAATTCCACTAACAGTAATAGCGTTTTATATTAATAATGTTCTTGGCTTCGTTGAAAAGCTAACAACTCATACATACACCTATTTATATATATATACATTTCTCTCTTTTTTTTTTTTTTTTCTTTCGAAAATGTATGCCGATTGCAAACATATAAACTATCGTCTTCATAACGATGTTTCAAATGATTATTATTACAACAACTATAACACAGAGGTATTATTTTTTTTTTTTGAGATGAATCAGTGACGTGTGCGAATAAATGCCGAACATATACATATAAATTTCTATGAAAAGTTTGTCTTACCTATACGCATAGATGGCGTAGGCGTGGCTGAACGTATTGTGATATATTCCTGTTCGGGTAAGTGTTCTAAATCATTGGTTTGTATAGTTTGTCGAGCTCTATCAGGTGAATCAAATGATGGATGTAATGGTGTTGGTTGAATTGATGGACTTGTTGGTAAAATATTTACTTCTTTCGGTCCATGTTCAATATATTCCTATATATATAGATATAGATATAGATGCATAATAAATTAATTTATAATATTAATTTTTCTGCTGAAAAATCAACAGAAATGTTTTTTTTTGTGTTAGTAATAAGGTCCCACTGTCTTGGTTTCCTTTTAATGTTTTACAACTCAATGACCTTCTTAATTTGTATTACTTAGTCATTTTCTTTTCTTTTATATGTATATACATATATATAATATACAACTCTATACTAACAAGGCTACTCGACCGTTGAATAAGTTTCATATACATATATATAGAAAGATCACTATCGTTTCTGTCGACTCTTACTGACTGCTCTTTTCGAAACAAAAATGGATGAAAAAGTAGAAGAACAAAAAGAAAAAACAAAAGAAATCGGATTGTGTCTCGACTCATCGACCAACTCTATAAGATAGGATAAGACAGACTACTTATTCTTTTTACTACTCAATGTATGATGACGAAGAACAAGATATATGTTATTTGTCCGTTGGCATGAACAGTATGACCCTTTCACTCAGTTCATAGGTTACGAATATAATGATGTTGGCATTTAGATGGGTTCAATGTATAGTAATAAACTATCATTGCTTCATCTTTCTTTTTTTTTTTATATATGCACGTGTGTTTATTTGTACGAACAAAATGAACGATGGACACTAATCGGGACGTGCATTCTTTTAATTGTTTCATTTCGTGATAAAATGATAGTCTATTAATATTGATGTATGTGTGTGTGCATGTTTTATTTACCCTAAAACACCTTACGCTCGACTCATGACCTACGTATTTTTTCTATTCATTATTAAATCAAAATGTATTCATCAACTATTGTAAATATTTTGTCAGGGTTTCTTACGTTATCTATAAGTTTAGAAGATGTTCGTTAAATATTCTAAATAGGGATTCAAGGTTTTGTTTTTATCATGTTTTTATAGATTAGGTGAAGGATACACTATATCAAAATATGATATGATATAAGTTACAAAGCAAAAGACTAAGATTTCAAAATAAAAGAATGTTTTATTTAAAAATTCTTGCAACAAAGATTAAAATGAATCTATATTGTGATAGACTAATGTCATAAAAAAAAGAAATAGAAGATAAATATATTAAAAGTTAGTTGGTTAATATTAAACTAAAATGAAATTAACAAGCTAAATAGTGCAAAATAATTACAAGCATATAAAAAGTAATAGCGTGTCAATAGATTGATTAGTATAAAATATAAAAGCAAGAAGCATTAACATGCAAAATCAGAAAGTAAGAGGTTCGAAGTTTCGTAGAATAATACTTTATGTCATACTACATTGATTGACTACGAGTAGTTTTAATTGATTGATCGATATAGATATACATGCATGTAGGCGTCCCTGTTTTTTATTTTGCATTGGCATGTATTACCTCATTTTGTTTTATTATTGTTGTTGTTGTTGTTGTTGTTGATGATGATGATGGAATAAGATCAGGTAAAATACTTGATGTCGAATGATCATCTTCATTTTCCATGATTATTGGTGGTTCAATAATATTAACATAAAGTGTTTCAGAAAATGGATTTAATGATTGAATATAATAATGTTCGATATAAGATAGTTGTTCATATTTATATGATATATTTTTAAGATTTTCTTCTTTTTCTTCATAATCGTATTGATAATTGATTTGTGCAATTGAAAAAATTTCTTGTTCATTTGTTATTTTATATTCATTTGATGATAATATATTATCATCATAATGAATAATTGGTAATAAAAAATTTGAATATTGATTATGAAAATTTATTTGATAGATTATTATTTCATTAATAATAGGTAAATGAAAATATTCAGGTTCAAAAAAAATATTTAAAAATTCTTGTTGATAGTCATTAAAATTATATAATAATATATTATTATTATTATTAGTAGTAGTAGTAGTAGTATCTTGTTCGAGTTCATTTACTTTTGCATGATGTATATGATTATCTTTATATTGATCAAAATCAATTGTTAATAAAAAATCTTTTGTACGATTATTTGGAGATTTTTTTTCATTTACTAATGTATCAAGTAAATAATCAACAGGTATATTAGATAGTGTTTCTGATGATAGTGATGGTAAAATTGTTGTTGTTGTTGTCATTATTGGTGTAGTTGTATGAATATGACAAGCACCAATACTAGCCGCCGTAGAAATTGTATCATTATCTTTATCAAGTGAATCTGTTTCATAGTCACTTGTTGGTGAACAATGACTAACAACCATAGCTACAGCTATAGAATTATTATCTTGTTCATTATTGATATTTTTTATATTTAAACTATTTGATATCTCATCTTCGAACCTCTCATCAATAGAATAAGCATCATTAGCAGTAGCAGCAGCAGCAGCAACAACAAAATCCAAACACTCAATATTAGTTTTCAACTCTACCTGTTGTTGTTTTTGTTGTTGCATAGTTTCAAGACTTTTTTCTACAATTAATTGTTCAACAAATTGTTCATCATGTGGTAATATTGTTGGTTGTAACCATTCAATAGGTAATGAACGATTAAAAAATGGATATTTTTTTTCATATCGTTCAATAGCACGTTGTGTACTATCATGCATTGATCGTATTGATGTTGCATATGATAGAGATATTTGATCAACTAATGGTAAATGTTGTTCAGGTTCAAGACTTTCTTCAAAACGATTTAAAAATGATTCCATATCATATATTGATGATGTTTCAGAATATTTTGGTCGTACACGAACTTCAATATCAATCATAACTGGTCGTTTTTCAAAATACATTGGTTCATATGAAATTGTATCTATTCGATCGATACGATTTGAATGAATTGATGATATGACTGAATAATCATATTCATCATTTGTTGATATTTGTTTTTGTCGTACACGATAGATTGGTCTTGATTGATTGATTTGTGTTGAAGGTAAAAGAGAAATTTTATCACATTGTTTTAGACGAATATTTTCATGTAATAAAGGTACTTGATGAAATTCGCTAACATAATTATCAGATTCTTTTATTATACGTTCATTAGCTGCTGGTGTTATTAATGGTAAATATCGTGGTGATGGTTGATCAGATTGATATCGAACATGTTGTTGTAAATGTTGATATTGATTAGAAAATTGTCGATCAACAACTTGTTCCCATGAAGAACTTTGTTCTTGATTATGATGTGCATAATTTAGTGTTAAAAAAGCAGTAGAACAAAAAGAAGCTTCAGGTATAATTGGCTCGGCGACATATATATTTGATTCTGGTTGATGTCGTGTAACAAGTGAACTATCGGATAATTTCGATGGCTTTTCAGTTTGAATTTGTAAATGTTGTGGTAAATTTTCATATGAATCAAAAAAATTTCGATCAACAACTTGTTGCCATGATGGATCTAATTCTTGATTATATTGAGCATAATTTAGAGGTATAGAATGTAATGATTTTTCTAAAAGAATTGATTTTGGTTGATGATATGTAAGAAGTGAACGATCAGATAATTGTAATGGTTGTTCTGTGTGAATTCGAAGTTGTTGTTGTAAATGTTGATATTGATCAGAAAATTGTTGATCAAATACTCGTTGCCATGGTCGATTTAATTCTTGATTCTGATATGGATAATTTAGTGTTAGAAAAGATGTCGAATGAAGAGGTTTTTCTAAAATAATTGGTTCATCAATATCTATATGTGATTTTTGTTGATATTGTGTAAGAAATGAATCATCTGATAATGATGATATTTGTTCATCATGAATATCTAGATGATTATCTATAGGACGACATAAAATTTTTTGATCTTGTTTTTTTGAATATTCAAATTTATTTTTTGATTCAATTCGTTCAATAGAACGATCACGTGGAATAGGTTTTATTCCAATTTGTTGTATGATTTCTTGATTATTATTTTCAATATGTTCATAACGTTCACGTGATAATATAGATTTTGGTTTTGTTATTTTAGCTTGTTCATATTTATGTGTTGTTGAATATTGTTCTTGTGCATTTTGTATATTAGATTGAATTTCATTTGAAATAGGTTTAGTATTTTCATCTTTCCAATCAGTATCATAAACAATAACGGGTATACGATTATTTTCTTCAATTTTTTGAAAAATTTTTTCACGATCATCACTTTGAATTATCGGTGTAGCACGCTGTTCATGTAGAGCAGTAGTAGCAGTAGCCAGCTCTTCGAGCAGCAAAGCTTGGAGATTTGGCTCAGTAAGCTAGAAGAATATATATGATGCATATATTGGAATGGGTGAATATGTAAAATACATTTTTGGTATAGATCGAAAAAAAAAAAACGTAAGCATGTATATACTTCGAATGAATATGTATACACAACATCGAAAGCAAGAAAATAAGCTGCGATATTTATGTGAAATAACATCGATAACTTTGTTTTTCTTTTCTTTTCGTCTATGAGACCTTCACCATATGCTACATCTTAATATTGTTTGTCAAATAATAAATATCTAATCGAGCATTTATCCAGCTATTTGTTTTTTTTATGAACTTACCGTTTTAGGAGCGTTTAATGTTTGAACAGAATCAATAAATGATGCACGTCCATGTGAAACATCAGTTACCCAAGATGTTTCGAGTTGTACAGCCATTGGTTCTTCATCAATATCCTTTTATAACAAAACAAAAAAAAAAAAGCACCTATCTTATTAGTTATCTATGTTAAATTAAGTCTATTTTCCTAACAAAATGGCTCCCCTTCTCCCCAGTTTTTGTTTTTTAAAACACATCGATATTGTGTATTATAAAGAAATGACAGAAATAAAATTATCATTTTCTTTATAAACACAATTTCTAGCTTTTGTTTTTATTTTTTTTGTTTGATATAGAAGCAAAATCTGTGCAATAAAAAACAAAAGTTCTTTTTTTTTTTTTCTTATATATTACCACAGATATATGTTCTTGATCATGATGTGTTTGTACGGGTGGATGATGATATAATGGTTGTGTTATACCGTCGAGAGGTACAATATGATGATGATCATATTTAATTGCAGCTGAATCATGTGATTGTATTTTTAAATCTTTATCAGAACCAAATGATGATGTTCGAGATAATGGAATTTCATTTCTTTCACCTATAATATTAAGATATAAATAAGTAAATATATATATGATTATGAAAATTTGCTTAATCATCAAAATAATAATAATAATAATAATAATAATTTTCTATTTTGGATTAGAGAGAAAATAAATAAACCTTGCAAAGCAGAGCGACTCACGTAAAAATGAAGGAGGTATAGTAATACAGACATCAATAATTGCTGTATCTATCCGTTTATTTATTTTAAATATTAGAAAAAAAAAGATATGAATAAAAAAGATTTTTTTTACACTTACCATAATTATAAATAATATCTTTTTTCAGTTTAATTGTTTCTAAATGTTGAATAGGTTCTTGTTTAGATTGAAGATTTTCTTTTTGATCTAATTGACTTTGAATAAAAGGTTTTGTTTGTTCATAAATTGTATCAGATAATCGTTTTTCTATTGATCGATGTTGTTTAATAGGAATTATATTTCCCCAATTAATTAAATTTTCTTTTGATCGATTTGTTAGTTGATTATCTTGTTCAACATGTGAACTACTTAAATATTCTATATTAGGTGTTCTATCAATTAAATTTTGATCTAATGTTTCATATATAACTGGTTCATCTGTATGTTGTAATGTTTGAATTTGATCAATTTGTTCAGGATCAATAATTTTTGTTTGTTCTGTTGTAAATATTGATGATGGTATATTTGTTATATTTTCAAATATATTAAGGTGATCAGCATGAACAGGTCGAATATTTGAATTAGGATCGATTTCAACTTGACGTAAAAGATCTAATGCACGTATACGTCTTCGATAATAATCATCTTCATGTATATTTTCTAAATGTTCTTCATCATATTGATCTAATCGATTCATTTTTGATGCATTTAATATTAATGGTTGTTCACTTGCTTGTGATGTATTTAATGAAACAATACCACTATCAACTGCTATTTCATTTAATTTATTTCGAGAATATTGATGTATATTTGCTATTGAAATATTTTCAAATACTGGTATATCTTGTTCAACTTTTGCCATATGTTCAGCTATTGGAGCTATTAATTGTGTACGTTGACGTTGAATTTCTTCATCAATACGACGTGTTACTTGTTCATTTTGTTGATCACTTAATTGATCTATATTAGCAGCAGCTAATAAAAGTGGTCGAGGACTAATACTATGTTGATGTTGAGTTTGTTCAGGTGTAAGAATAATCATAGCATGATCATAATCATTTGGAGGTATTTGAAGACGTTGAGCTTGTTGTGCTAATAAAGTTAATTCATTTATTTCACCTTGATTTAATGTTAATACATGTTTTATATTAACCATAGATAAATCATGATTTCCTGATGCACTTTCAACACGATCAGCATGAAATATTGGAATTTTTTCAATATTTGATGATGGTGTATAAATTTTAGTTGGAGAACGAGGTGATACTATTGTAGCTTGTGCTGGTGTAATGATCTTAAGTTAAAAGAAATTTTTCGTTTTCTTTTATTAATACATTCAATCATTTTATTGTTAAAGAGTAAATTTATGAGTTTGTCTATCCTTCTTTTATGGAATTCACATTATGTTTTGCGGACCTCAACTCTCATAGAAACGGAGGGAAAGGGCAACGGCTATCGGATACGTTTTTATAGTAACCAAGGACAAAGATGCTGAACGACATTAACAACAATATATACGAGCGAACATCTTCAGATCTCCCCTTCCGATTTTAATAATTTTCTGTCTGAAATTACTCTATTTGAGTTCTCTATATGCACAAAGTTTAAGATGAAAATTATCTTTAGAAAAAAATTCGATAACTTAGTTCAATCTCAATAGGAATCCAAATCTTTTTAGAGTTTTTAATTAGAATACTATGTTGTATCTATAGGAAAACACCATTGGAATTCGAAGGAAACATCTGACAAGGTTTCTTCATTAGACTGTTCTAGAACATTCTAAAGTCTTTCTCGAAATTTGAACGACTGAAATATGTTTGTCAATGTTAGAGCCCATCGGATTTGAACCTGGTCGAATCGTGCTTTGATACTCTCAATAAAATTTTCTAATCGAAATCAGACAGTGTCTTCGACGATTCGAGATGCTTTTATCTGGTTATATTGTATTTGCTGGCAAGCGCATCCTACACATTTCTCAAACGACTACGGCCCATCGGAACCAACTCGTCGAACTCTAGTCAATATTGTAAACAGTGCAGTGTTTAATTTTTGCATAGATAAAAATTTATATTAAAGATATTAAGGATGATGAGTAATCCTGCATTGATTTGGCACAGTTGTCATATGATCAATATAAAAAACGTAAACTGATCAAGTTATAACCTTTAGTATCATTATTTTTGACCTTCTCGAGATCTATAAAAGTGTGTTGAGACCTTGTGTACATATAATGGATATATACAACAGACTTATTTGCCAGTTAAATTAATGATTAGAATAATAAGAATGTTAAATTAACGAAAATGAGATACAACGAGCGAATACTAACAAGACGAACGAAAAGAAAAAAAAAGTTCTATTCGAAATACAGAAATAAATAAGACAGATTGTTTCTCTAACGATCGATTGTCCTTGAAAAATAACTAGAGTCTCCTATAGATTTCTCACTTAATTTGCTTTTTATTAGTATAATGAAGTTACAAAATACATGTGAGTTCCATATTTTAGTCTAAAGGGGCTACTCTGACAAACATTTTTATTTCCGAAATAAGAAAAGAAATAATGCAGGAACATTTTTACGAGATAACTGAAGTTGATATGATATTTTTTGTTTGTTTGTTTGTCTTACCTGAACTGCTCTTTGTAGATTTGGATCATAATCGAGATCTTTGAAAAGTATTTGTTGTGAAGTACTTAATGCACCTTCAATAAGATCATCTGAAGTTGGTTGAACAACATTACTTTGTGCTCGATCTTTTCGAACATAAACACGTGTACGATCAGCAAAATCTGGAGGAGGAACAGTTAATATATGACGACTTTCATATTGTTCTGTTATCTTTGTTGTTATAGTTGTTGGTTTTGGTGTTAAACGTTGTTTAGCAGTTGTATAGGATGGTGGTGGTGCAATAATACCAACATGATGAACAACATCAGCACTACCATCATCAGTTAATGTTCGACGTGCACGACTTGTGTGAATTTTTTGCGTTTGAACAACTTGTGGTCGAACAACAATTAATTCATTATCGATTGGTTCATTTATACGGAGAGTACTTGTAGAAGTTAATTTTATTGGACGATGTTGACGATCAACGATTGGAATTATAGGAACTTCAATTATTGGTGGTTGAGTAGCTTTGAGTGCAGCATTACTAAAAGTTGTTTCAGATGTGTACATCGGTGGACTGCCAATACCTGAAATTTACATTAGGAAAACAAAGTTGAGATCAAATATACGATAACCTTTTTTTTTTCTAAAGCAAACACTTATCTAAATAGATTGTTATGAAGAATTTGTATAGAAATAAAATGTAAAAATAGCAGTAATGTTCTAATGATTAAATGAATTTCAACATGACCAAGGAGCTCATTAGGAATTCAAACATTTTACATTATTTTTTTTTATTATTTGATTTTGGTGTTCATTCAAGTTTTATTTAATATATTTCAAATAAAATCTTTACACTCATAGAAATCAAAATTAAATTAAGTATGACTCAAGGTCAAATTCGAATAAGTCATCATCATAAAACTAAAACCTACAAATTAAATTTAGAAAAAGAAACATATCTACTGAACATTACATTAGTATTACATTTGTGAAATCAGCATTGTCAATGACATTCTAGAAGATATTGAGCAATTATTGAAGACAAATCAATGACGCTTGTAAAAAGAAGCCATGATCATGAGTTAATTTAACAAATGTCATTGACTTTTTCTTCTGTAATTACTCTAGACCTTCCAGAACGTAGTACTGACTTCACAAATGTAGTGCTAATGCAATATATAGTTGGCGTGTTCTTTTTTCTTCTAAATTCAATTTATAGTTTGTGTTGCATAATAATAATAACTTATTCAAATTTAACCTTGAGTGAAACTATTTTAATTATGAATTTTATAGATGTAAAGATTTTATTTGAAAATACATTAAATAAAACTTCTATGAATATCAAATCAAACTGTAAAAAAAAAAAGAATATAAATTGTCTGACCCAAATTTTTGGAACGTACTTTAGAACTTCAACTAATTGTCTACTACTATTCAAAGTTCAAAATTTGATATAATAGTTAAATGTCTATATGAATTGTATTTAGTTTAACGAGAGCGAGTGTTTTCTTAGTGTCAAATCACTTCTTTTTTTGAGTTGAGACTATGTGCATCATGTAGATTCTAATGAACTATAAATACTCTAACAAGAGTTCACACTAATAACTTATTACTGTCGAGATACTGTATTTTTAACAGAATGCTGTGCTCCTTCTCAGGAATACTCGGTTCCGAATTTCGATTTGAAACTTTGCATAGAGTCACGTCTTAATGAGGAGAAGATTCATAGCTATACCTACACTCACGAGTAAGTGTCCGGCTCTTCTGATTTAAAAACTCTAAAATGTTTCCTCGTAAAAGAAAATAGAGAAGATTTTCCGTTTAATTAAAAATTTATTCTCATTCCCAATAGATAGATGCTAAACTGAATGTTTTAACTCAAAAAAAAAACAAGCAAAAGAACCAAAGATATCTCATACCAGCCATTAATTGTCCTTGTTTTTCTCGTCGACGTCTTTCAAGTTCAATAGCAATTTTGCGTTTATAATTTTCCAAAACAAATGGTTTATAAATATCAGCAACATCTTCAACTGTAAATGATGTTGGCGTTGTAAATGGTTGTCTATAACGTAAATGTTCTTTTCGTACTTGGTATAAATGTTCAGCAGATAAACTACGACCTAATTTACTAGTTGTTTCATCAATAAATTCTCTATTACGATATTGTCTCATAAGTGCTTTATCACGTGCAATTGTTTCAACATTTCGTACACTTTCTTTCATACTACGATTTAATTTTGATATATAAAAATCAGCAATAAGATGACTTGGACGATCAAGTAATGAACGATTAACAGTTGATAAATAACGTGCTAATTGTTTTTGATTTGGTATTGTTTTACGTTGATTATCATCTATAATTTGTTCTTCTTCTTCTTCATCTGACCAAAATGATGAATTTGATCTAATATCAACATCACTATCATGATCAACAGGTTTTATTTGTGATATTGTTATTGGTTGATGATGAAGTTTTTGTTTTGTATATTGTGATGCATTTGATACTTGACCAGCAATTGATGCATCAACACCACGAAAACGATCTTGCATTATTTCATAAAATAAATCAACATTTGCACCAGGTGCAACATAACCTGGACGAGGAGGTATTGGAGTTTGTGCAGTCTGAAAAAAAAATTTTTTTTTTTTTGTTATAAATATTAGAGGTTTTTGAAAAACCAAACTAAAAATCCTTCTTTTATTATAATATTAAGTTATACTTTTTTTTCTTTTTGTAATATCGAAATTTACGTCATTTTATTTTTTCTTATTAAATAATATCTGAGTGTGCATCTGTATAGTTTCTATTTATTTTTCACATGAATAGAATTCACTTTTATATAATACTCAACTTGCGGCTTTTTATTGTCTTCCTCTCAATATATTAAAATTACAATAGAAGTTGAGTTCATAATGGTTAACTGTTTAGTTTTTCAAGTCAAGTATGTTTTTCACGTTATTAAATTAAATTTTATATTTCATTCTTAGATGGTTTCATTAATTTACAATCTTTTCTTTTATAAATAAATAAAGTTATATTATAATTCCGTTTAAAAAAAAAACAAATAAATAATATTTCACAAATATTTAATCAATTCTTCATCATCTTGAATTTATAATTTTCAATTATAAGATATATGATAATTTTTGTGACAATTGAAATTTTTCTCATTACAAAATTCTATCAATACAATGGAGAAAAAAACAACGAATAGAATTCAATCAAATTTTTATTATTTCATGTTTACTTATGAGAGAACCGATCCGACTGATAATCTTCGTTTGTGGATTTATAATATACATAAAAATCCTAGAAGGGTTCGTGGCATTAAGCTTGTTTTCTCAAATTGTGGTCATTTTACTGAACTTTTAGCCTATTGCAGGATATCACAAGAAAAAGCGCAACAAAGAGTTTTGGTCTGAAATTCTCTACAACACTAGCTTTCATGACCTTTATGATATCCTGAAAATTTCAGCTCCAACGGATGTTTCCTTTCTGAGATAATATGTTTGCAAATAACGTTACTTTCACATGCGAGCTCCAAAAATAGCTCAATTTTTAGGCATATGATATATTAAGAAGAAATCATCCATTTGAACTGAAACTTTCAGGATGTCATAAGGACCATGAGAGTTATTGTTGTGAAGAATTTCGGATCGAAACCCCTTGCTGTGATTTTTTTCTCGTGATATCCTGCAATAGCCTAAAAGTTCAATAAAATGATCATCATTCAATAAGATCTAATGACATGAACGCTTTTAGAATTTTTATCTATACTATGAGTATTCAATCGAAGATTATCAGTCGAATGGATTTCTTTCATTAATCGATCTATTTATGGCAATATAACATTAGTTCGTTTAATTTTCAACAACATAGTAAAACCTTAAACTATGATTATAAATTAATAAATTAATTGAAATAGTTATACTTTATAAAACTCATAATCCGAAAATAAACGAACTTTTATGAATATAATCTAACAACTAAGTAGGCATAATAAATTTGATAAAGAAAGATTTACATTTCGTTTTTATTATGAAATAAATTCTTTTTTGTAATCTATTGAATATAAAACAACCTTCACTTGTAGGTAATATTAAAAGATTAGATTATGTAAGAATTGATCGATCATTTATCAAACAGAAATTTGATATGTTTGAATACTTTCATAAATGGTGACATAAGTACAAAGATAAACTATATCGAAAGATGATTATAGGACAATTTTTTTTATAAAACTAAAAAGCAAAATGAACACTTGAAGCAATATAATAACTGAGACTTCTGTTTGTTGAGTGAGTGCAGAAAAGAATGGATGCAATTATGAAAAAGAATAACACTTACTGAAGTATGCGATTTTTGTGATCGACGATCAGTCTCAAAACCGCCTGATTGTGCGTCCATATTTTCATTTAAACTTCCCATCATAATTGGACTATATGATGATAATAATGGTGATAAAAGTCCAGCACCAATTGATGATGTTGGTGTTGATGATGTTATTTGTCCATCAAAACTTGTACTTAATCGTAGACGTCTTTCTCTGTCAATAGCTCGTTTCATTTTATATGCTTCTAATGTTGGTGACATATGAATATCTTGTATATCTTCATATGTATATGAACGCATATTAGAACGTGTTTGAAAATGTCGATTTTCTTCTCGTCTTAAATCATCTAAATATGTTGATGAAAAACAACGTATTAGATCATAATTTAATTCACGTTGTAATGATTGATTTTCAAGTGAACGTAAATAACGATGAAAATTTTGATCTAATTGTTTAATACGATTCATATCAGCTGTATAATTACCATCAATTAAACTTTTATTAACATTTTTCATAATTTGTGTATGTGTACGATTTGTATTTAAACCACGATGATATATTAATGAACGTTTTTGTGGTTCATCATCATCACTATCCATTGGATAATCAATAGGTGGTTCTTCTTGTGCATAATATTGACTAATATAATAATCTTGTTGTTGAAATGATATTGGTGGTGAAAGAATTTGTTGTTGAAGATATTTTTGATTTGTTGATGAAACAAGACGATCAACAGATTGTTGAAATGCTTGTGGTGATCGTCCACGTTTTTTACCAGCTAAACGTTCGCGCGCTTCATCTAAATATGAACGTGGTGTTGATGATGGATCAAAACGAACATTTTGAATTTTAGTTGGTGGTGATCGTCTTAATGTTGATAATGAACCATTTGTTGATGTTATTGTATCCATACGTGTTGGTGAACGTTTCATTGTTTGTCGATGTTCAGGACTTGTACTTGATGTACGTGGACGTTTTAATTGTGAACTTGGTGATAAATCAGTTGTACTATCAAAGATAATTTGTGGTTGTTGACGTTGTTTTATCCATGCATCTTTATAAAAAGAAAAAAACAAAAAGAATAGGATAAGATTAAGTTATTTAGAAAGGATGCCCAACTCATACGAGACTAATAAAAATAGTAAGTTAAATTTATCTTTTCTTTTTTTGTTCTTTCTTTTTTTGCTTTATTTGTCTTTGGTAACTACGTTAATTTTACCTTCTGGGTTAACTAATGATGTTAAAGTTGAATGTGGATGTGGTTCTTTTGTCTTTGAAAACAGATAAGGTGTATCAGGTATGATAGTTGTTGGTTGTGTTGACTTTGACGTCGGTAGTGAAGTTTTATCAATCTTTGATGATTTTCCTTCAATAAAAGTAATTGTATGTGGTTCTAATCCATTACCAGAACGAATATATGTTAATGTTTGTTGTGGTTGTTTAGTTGGATCAGTTGAAGGAAAATAATATCGATCAGAATCTGTTGAATGTGATCGTAGTTCTGTTTGTTCATTAGGAAATTTATAAACATTATTATTATTTTGATCAGTTGTAACCGATGAAAATTTATAACGTTTTCTTGCTGATGGTGGTGTTGATGATGATGATGATTTTGGATTATTACTTAATTTATTTTTTCTTGTTCCTGTTGTTGTTGTTGGTGATATTCTCGAAACTCGCTTATCATTTGAAGGTGAACGAAATACATAACGATCAGTAATATGTATTGGTGAAGGTGGTGGTAAAGCTGATGTTGACATATTTTGATTATTATTATTATTATTATTTGTATTAGAATTATAAGCGTTATCCAAACGAGAAAGTAATCTTTGAAATTTTTCTAATTTTTCAACTTTATTTTTAACTAATGGTAAATGTGCTTCGAGTGTAAAATAATTTGCACTCGTATTATTTGATGAAGACGATGATGTTGAACTGAATAATGATGATGACGAAGAGGATAACGAAGAAGGATCAGCTAATGATTGTTGATTATCTGAAGAGCCGTTCACTAACTAAAAAAAAAATATTATTCATCTAATAGTAGATGATTAACTTGTCGTCTATGTGTCACAGCTGCCTCTTAGCATAGTTTCAAGAAAAAAAGGAATACAGGAAAAAAACGGAACACAATGAGCAGAGAGAGAAAAAATGTAAAAAATGGGTGCACTAGGCTTCTACCGTTATTTTATTCTTTTTTTTCTTCTCGTTTTATTTCTTTTTTATTTTTTTTTTGCAGTACGACGCGTGTTCTTTTCTACCCTACGACAATGTAATGAGAATGAAGAATGAAGAATGAAGAAGTTCTTCTTTTCTTCTTTTTTTAGTATATTTGATGTCAAATTCGAGGTATAAAACGTATGTAAAAGTAAAAATGAAGAGTGAAAGAAAGAACTGTCTCTGCATAAGATTGAACTTTTTCTTTTTCTGTTCATGCATTGACAAACGTAATGAGAAAATCATTAACCTTCATGGTACCATTGTATTCAAACCCTGAAGCTTAAATATGAATGAAAGCGCATGTTTGCCGTCAACTCTTGAAATAAAAGATGAAGAATACGAAGACATTTTGTGTGTTCTATTTGCTTTTCTTTGCTTCTTCAAGTTATGTGTGTGTGCATGTGTGGGGTTCGTAAAGAGTTGATGCTTGCAAAACATTGCCGCCACAAAAGCAGCAATAAGCTTGAAGGTGAATTCCAGTAAAAATAACATCGAATGACAAAAAAAGAAGAAAAAAAAATTCCAACGATTTTTAAACATACAGGTATTTCATTTTCTATTTTCTATTTTTATTTCCCTGAATTATAAACATATTTTAATCAATGACAAGCAAACTTACCATTGTGCTCGGTGAAGATATTTCAAAATTCATGTTCGTTCAAACAAAAATCTTACTATGTATTGTTAGTTTAATCGGGTATAATCGTAATCGCCTTGACCACACACACAAAAATAAGATAAAGAAAGAGAAGGATGAGTCTATGTATGTGTCTACTATTCGATGGTCAAAGACAACAACGGAAAGAGAGAGAGAGAGAGAGAAACAAGAAAGGAAAAGGGATAAGTTGTAAAAAAGAAAAAGATAAAATCAATGCTTGAAACTAATCAAAGCCATATTTATGTATGAAGAACGAGTAAAAAGAAATATCAACGAAAGAAATCTTTAAGTCGCATGTAAACAAGATGAACGCGCGCACATTCGTTCATGTTCATGTATATGTTGAATACGATGGATATGAATAGATAAGGTAATGCACATATACATTTCGTTCTCTTTCGATCAATCGCACGAAAACATCGAAGAAAAAGATCGGCTGTCTATGTATTGCTTTCAATGACCTTCAAGATATATATGAACAGACATATGAGACAGCAAAAGCATGTGATTGAATGAAACCAAGGAAGATCAAAAATCAATATTTTCCTTACGTGTATAAATCGTCTATGAGTAACAGGAACCAAATCTCAACATTGTTGGTTTCATTTATCTCTATCGTTTTATTTCTTTCTCTTTTCTCATTTTTTTTCTCTTCTTATCAATCAAAAAGCTAGTTACAAGTGTTTTATTGGTAACTTGTAATTTTATTTTTGTCAACTAGACGACGATTGTAAAAAAACTAGAAAAATGTAAAACGATGACAACATGACAACCGCAATGACAACAAACGTTTACTACTGTGCACACTTGAATGTGGTCTATTACACTATTTATTTGTTTTTTTTTCCTACATCAATATATATACTTTTTCTTTCATTTTTATTTCTCTCATTCCATTTGTCGATTCTTTAGAAATTAAATCGCCTTTTCTTTCTTTCAGTTTTCAAGTATAGTACGTAAAGAAGAAAAGCAAAAAAAAATGTAAGAAAAGAGTAAAAAGAAAATAAAAACATACCTAAGTGTATATACACGAGCATAGAACGCATATATTCGCATGCGTAAACGAAGCCGCATTTAGTACCTTTCTTGTAATGGTCAAATAAACTAAGAACGATAAGTACGGATTGAGTTCAACGGTGCAAACAGAACATGCAACCATGCATATTCTTTCTTTATTCTCTTTAGTTCCATCGATTAAAAAAAAAAGCATTTATTCTAACTCAATAATTTTACATCTGAATCTTAACTTAATTGCAAAGTGATAAAAGAATTTTTTAATATTGAGAATTGTTTCAATTAAAAATGATGACTCATCATGATTATTTACTTGACATAAAGCCAAGAGACATTGGAGTATTTTCTTTCGAAATATTATTTCACCTTCAGCATTCTTTTTGAAATAACAATAAATAAATAAAAAGAGTAATAGTGACGCAATCTATTCGCTTTGAAAATGTGTGTCGGCATGTAATAACATACACGCACGTTACACTTGAATTTTTTCGCTTCAATATTACGGCTCCTACTGGCTTTGTTTCGCGTCTTCTTATGAATGTTTTTACACTAGCAATGCATTCGTTTGTATAAGTACTTGTGTCTTGTTTCGAAAACAATCACACTTCACTAACCGCTCGCTGTTATTTACTCAGCATGTGCTTTAAATCTTACGTGATGTTCAATCAGTTAGAATCGATAACTTATCGAACTATGAACACATATGTATATTGAATAGGTTAAATAGAGTAACAAAGAAAACTCATTTACCTGTCGGTCAATACCTCTTCGAATTTGAGTAATCAAATAGAATAACGAGGACGACGATAAGAAATGATCGTCGATATGAAGAACAAAGAAAAAGATATTAAAGTTAATTTGAGAAGCAGTCAAATTGAATTATTGTTCCCAGTTGGTGACTGCTTCTCGTCGTACGTATTCAAATAATAGTAAAAGAAGAAAAGAAATAAAATGAAGACGAAAAAAGAAAAAAAGAAAATTTATACATTCAATGCTGTTACTTTTTACAATCATCACTTCGCCTACGCACCTTCTATTCTTGCTTCCAATACATTTCGTTCTTTAACAAAATGTACACCGTCTTTATAAAATAAATATTATGTGCACAATTCATCACACATACATAAGCCGGATGCCAATGCTCACCACAAACTAGTTAGGATTCACTCTCTTCTCTCTCTCTCTCTCTCTTCTTACCTCATTTTTTTTTCTTACTTTATAAAGCATAGTAAAGAATTGCGGAATAAAAAAATAATTGAGTAATTTATGTACGCGCGCATTCGCTCGTGTGTATATGTGTATATACGTGTATTGTTATTTCATCTCAAGTCAATATTGAACCTGGCTTATCGTTGTTCAACAGATGATACTACACCAGTGTCGTTCTTTTTCTTTTCTCTCCTTCTCTGTCAAATTATCAAAAGATTACTTGAATTTCGTAGTGATCGCAGTCTTCTTTATTCTTTTTCTTTTTCTTGACCGATTATGTCATTATAACAAGAGACTCAATAATCGTCGAACCAGAATAGTAATAGGCAAATGACTTTAAACTGTAATTTCGGCTTTTGTATATGTATGTAGTTACATGATTTCTCTCTCTGTTCCTTCTCTTTTTTTTTGGAAGGTGATGAATCGAATTTGAATGTACACTACGTTCGAAGGTCAATTTTGTAGTTCTTCGTTCGATAATTTGTGCCATATACATACATACATATATATATATATATAAATGTGTGACCTGAATTTCAAGACAATGATAATCTTTTAGTTCTATAGGATGCCGAAACAATATCAATTTATCGTTACCATATACCAAACAAAAATAACGAATATGGACGCCTACAGAGATATTCAATTTCAGTGCAAGCCGAAAAATTGTTACGTCCTGTATGTATGACATAACCAGAAAAAAATTTATAAGTAGAAAGGAGGCACTCCGCCCATCAAATTCCACTTGAAAATAAGAGTGAGAAAATGAAGAGTACATGAACGAACATGTATGTATGTATACAAATTTTAATACCACTTACTTCATTTACAATCGATTGTGACACCGTTGTTGACTGAGGATAGGAACGACGATGTTGCTGACAAGCATATAATGACATTGGAGATGAAGGTGGTTTAAAAGAGTATAATGTACGAAGTAGTGCATCGCCATAAGTATCAACTTTTAGTAATGGACAATCTGCAGTAACATTTGTTGTTTGTCGCATTGTAGACAAATGTGGCATTGTATATTTTATTATTTTTTTCTTTTCTATTGTGTAAAAATTGTCGATTAAAAGTATCTTAAAACATAAAACGTATTTTTATAAATCAACCTTGAATAGAAAATAAAAGTTATGCATAGTGAATGAAGTATTTTAAATACATAACAGAAACTGTATAATTGAACTGATCAAATAGAATTTTATAGTTATATGGAATATAATTATTCTTAGAGTCTACTTAACAAAAGAAAAGAAGGAATTTGACTATCAAAACGTTATAAATATGATCAATGAACTTACTTGACATTTAATTTTTTTGATTGAACAACTTGTCAAATCATTATTTTTCGGCAATTATACTTACTTAAATCTCAAACAATGAACAAACTAATTGATCTATATCATATTATATATGTATGCTCTACTGTCTATGAATTATAAGAAAATGGCACCATCCTTTCGAGTCATGAGAGCTTGCATACCTTCATACTACGTGTCACTTACTCTATGAGACAATTGACTAGACGCAAAAAAAAGAGCAAAGAATATGACTATAATATATATGTACACAAACTATTGAGCAACTGCGACAGACAATTAACCTCCTTGACGAGCGTATAGTTCAGTAGTCAACGTTAAATATATATATATATATATATATATATATATACATGTATATATATATACATATACACTTGTCCCTCCCAGATGTGCACGACCCCTCGTAGATATGTCCACACCCATATATGTATATATGTATATATATACATATATAGAAAAAACGTCTAACGATGGTAATTTTTTTCTTTTTACGGTGTTTTTTATAGATATAAATAGATGTGTCTATCGACTGAACGGAAGATCTTTACTTGCTTATTTAGAGATATACATACGTTTGACGGATCGTTGACTATTCAACATATACTTCAACTATATAATGAGGCTGACTATGTGCATTCACGCGCACCATGTCGTGCGACGATGGTTTAATAATGATAAGACAAAAAAAAAGTTGATTGACCAAGTGCGTGTTTGTGTATAGAAGGAATGATAATTATCAACCTGTCAATCGAAACTTTCTTTTTTTTTTCTTTGCTTTTTTTCTGTCAATCTTAAATTAGTGACATTGTCATTAATTGCCAGATAGTGTTAGATGGTGACATAAAGTCAATTGAACGTGCCATAGACTATGTGAACTGAATGATAAATGAAATTACATCTTTGTGCGTGTTAAATGCAAGAAAGAAATTAATATTTGTGAAACCAATTTTGATAGAAAACAATAAATACTTATTTTAATTTAATAATTTCTATCGAAATAGCATGAACTTCTGCACAATTTAGTAATATTTGATTTGGTAAGAAATAAATAGTTGACTGTCTTTTGCTATTAATAGACTCCCTGCCGTAGTTTCAAGGGCTTGATCAAAAAAAAAAGTTATAAGGTATAATTAGAAGGTAAATTTTGAATAGAATGTATTTTTTAATAAATTTTATCGTCAAATAAATGTATGCATCGGGGAGGAGGAGTGGTGCATCAGCATTACAAGAAATAACAATCGCTTCTCCTAAAAAGAATTTTTAAAAACAATAGAAGCTTATTGTTTTTCAGGATATTTGATGCCTCCTGTTTTTACTGGAGTAAGACTACGTAATCGAACACACACAGCGGGTATCAAAACGATTCAACAAGGTTTATTTTCAATTTTTTTTTCTCCTACCATCAACGCTAGAAAGAATTCAAATAGTGATTCCGATAGAAGAAATTGTTTTCAAAGACTGAAACTTCGGAAAACCAAAAGACTAGATTTTCAGCCCCTAGAATGGATAAATATAATTTGGTTTTGACTACATAGAACGATGAAGTCTTTTCATTTTCAATCGAATTGCTGTATCTCAGCCACAAAATGTCGAAGAAAACTTAATCGTATCTCATTTTGTAGACGATGGTTTACGCTATTGTTCTATACAGTCTAAACAAAATTGTATTTATGCGCTCTAGGTGTTGAGAAACTAAAGTTTTAGTTTTCTGAAGCCCGTTTCTTTGAGTATCTGATCATAATTTTTATTTCCTTACATTTTTGTTGGAAACCATTTTCTCACTATTTGGATTCTTTTTAATGCTTGCGACTGAGGAAAAAATTCAAAGCAAAACCTTGTTAAATAATTTTGGTATTCGTTATATACTCAATACGACTAATGTACTTTATGCAGGAGAATTGACTCATAGTCTCATGATTTCGTTGATTGTTATCTTGATGAATACATTTCATTTCATATATATCTGACATGTGATTATTTAAGTAATGCATACTAGACATTTTGATTATTTTGAACTAGAGCGTTGCATCGCACCCCAAAGATCTTATTTCATTCTTTTCTTATATAGTATTCATTTTTGACAATTGTCATGTACACTAAATGAAAACTGTCTATTCAATAACCAAATAATATGAAAAAGAAAACAACAAAAGAAAATATCCATTAACTTGCACAAGTGCTTATTGAGAAAAAAAATGCTAGCACCATTTAATATCTTCACTTGCATCATTAGATGTTTTTCCATCATCTTCACGCGACGTTAAATTACTTTAGAAAACTCTAAACTCAGTTTAGCAGGGTATAGAGCCCAAAAACAAAGTTTTTTTTTTGATTATACGGAGGAGCAGACCAATTAATTCTCTACAAAACGAGATGCCTTCAGTCACTTCACAATATCTTTTGAATGAACTACATCGATATTAAGAATCGTCCAACGAAGGGTTTTTAGCTATTTCCTAAGTTAAAATTGGACAAAAAAGATTTTTGGACGTTCGCTAAGATTCATGTGATTCAGTCAAAAAATGTACTAGAAAGCTCGAAGACATGTCATTTTTTTTAGAGAAGAATTAGGTGCTCTATTGATTCATGTAAAGCCCGCAACATATTAGAAGACTCTCTAGATTACAAGATTCCCTTGCATAAATAACGCAAAAGAGAGATTAGAACACTTCCTCTTCTAATAGTTGCTTTTTTAGTTTTAGTATCGTGTTTTTACGTTTTGTTTCTCTATGTTTATTTCTAATCTTCGCTTGAAAAATATTTTTCTGTTCTTTCTGACGTTGATCAAGTTCGATTATTTTTCAATTACATTCTTCTTTTTCCATGAGCAATCAACTATATGATTATTTGCATAACTAAATAAACATAAAACATCTCTTATAGATAATGATCTAATCTCAAACTCTCATCTACTGTCATTAAATATCGATCATGATCATATTGATTAAGAATCTGATTCAGAAAGAGATGAACAAATTACAAGTGCAATAAGGAAAACTCAATATAAATGGCTCATCTTGAAGGACATATCAAAAACACTACAAACATTTTTTTTTGTTCTACTTGATCATATGAAATTGTAACATTTTATGGATGAGTAGTTTTCTCCCATGAAAAATGTGTCTGCTATGAAATTGTATCAATTAATCATATTTTGTGTGATTTAGTACATTTTATAATAAAGATATTCATTCTGCGAAATGTTCTTTAGTAATAGAATATAGACTGTTTTTGTTTTAATTGCACTAGCGTGGAAAAATCAAATAAATGTTAGTAACAACATACCATCATCAAAAGACTTATATAAAATTTATATCGTTGAGAATAAGAAAAAAATGACTTTTTAAGGGACATAATAGAAGATCCTTTTGTTACCTGTGAACGATAATACAGAATAGAAGATTCGGGGTCTTCTAATGTGTCGATGGCTTTAAACGATAATTTAAAATTCAACAATGTTGAAGATTAAATAAGAGATATATATATATGATCAACATAACGTCTACGTGTGTGCATTCACATGGTTATAACTTATAACACATTTTAATTATTGGGTGAGATGAGATATTATTTTTAGTTTATATTAAATATTTGACTTCTCTGTATGCTCTCAAGAACAAATTAGTATATGATAAAATTGCAAAGAAAGAAAAAACGAAAAAAGAAAAAGAAAAATGACTATGATTATTATCTTGTAATATATGTCAGATGTTATTTGATGATATATACAGATGTCTTTTATTGATCTTGTTATTTTTTGTCATATATAATGTATATATATATTTATCCTCTTGAGAAATGATGAACAAGAAAAAATTTGATCAAATGAAATATAAAGAAATTTATTTGAATATAAAGTTATATTACTACGAAACATGAATATAAATTCTTAGAATATGTTTTGACTTTCTTGAATAAAGAAGTATGTGTTAGTGATCGTAGTTTGTTTTAGTTCATTTTTACTTATTCTTTAATTGGTATTATTCAAGTGAAATTAAATAATAATACGAAATACAATATCAAATAATTTGAAAAAAAAAACAATTTCTTTTGCTTGTGTAACCTATATATATATTTGTTTATATGACAATTTCTTTTTCTAACATAAAAATATATTCAAAATGAAATGAAATAGAATGTGAAATGCAAATATCGTATAGGACTGAAGCCTATCGAATCAGCATAACATCGAGCAGAAACTCAGCGGATCGCAATATGGCGGTTGCTCTCACGTGTACATTACTCTGTTACTGAAGAAAGTCGTTTACAATCGATTCTAGCCATTAGTGTTGTTTCGACTAAAAATGCATCATTGCAATCATAATCTTATTTCAATTATGACAAAGCAACAATACGGTAGCTTCATTCATATATCCACTTTATCAACAGTTTGGACATATATATAAATGTGCTGACGACAACCAATGTGCCAAAAAAAAATCATTGAATCTAGATCGGATTCCAACTTAGAGGCGTTCAGTTGTAAGCCGTCGGATGATAGCTTCGCATCATTGTCCTTTCGAACAAATACGTAAACCAAATGTCCGAACGTACGGTTCCTCTCGTACTAAGTACGATTCCTATATCAATGACAAAATCCAATGTAGGGTAAAACTAACCTGTCTCACGACGGTCTAAACCCAGCTCACGTTCCCTATTAGTGGGTGAACAATCCAACACTTTGCGAAGTCTGCTTCGCA